CGGGGCCGCGAGGGGAGGCCGGCGGCCCCTCGCGGCCCCGGGCTCAGCCGCCCCCGGGCACCCACCGTGCACTCACTTGGGCGTGTGGGCCTCGTCCACGCGGTGACCCAGCTGGAACTCGTGGGACTTGCTCCGATGCAGGGCCGTGAACCCCGGGATCAAGTGGATCAGCTTTCGGGAGGAGGGCGGCGGGGTCCCGGGGGGTTTCAGCTTGTTCTTCCTCCTCATGGGCGGCGTGCCCGGCGGGGTCACCGTGGTGACGATATTGGGGGTGCGCGGCGGGGTGCGGACGGCGTGTCGCTGCCTCGGCGACGGGGGCAGGGAGCGGTGGCCCGATTCCAGGGGCGGTGGCGGGCACAGGCCCGGGTAGGCGTCCACGGTGAGCCTGTCCACGTGGGTGTACACGGGGGCCCCCGGGGGGGGGCTGGCGTAACAGTAGTGCTGGGGGCACTTGGACTGGACCCTGGGGCTCTGGGAGAGGTGGGTGCGGATCCACGGCGCGGGCTCCGGGGGGCACACCGGGCTGTTCTCCTTCCCCGTCTCCGTGGTGGGCCACTGGATGGTCCAGTCTTGTTTGGAGAGGTTGCCGCCTGGGTCGGAACCAAGAAGCAGAGACACACGGGCAGGAGTGAGAAAGGCAGGCGAGTTACACGTGTGCACATGTGCACGTGCGCACGAACACACATCATGCTAAGCCATGAAAAGGAATGAAATCTTACCGTTTTCAACAGCATATGCTCAGTGAAATAAGTCTCTAAGACAAATGCCAGGACCCTGAGTTCACCACCCCCGGCCCGGCTCCCTCGGAAGGACAGAGCACCTCTGCATGCGGGAGACTTGGTTTCCGACCATAACAACAAGAATTCATCCCCAGTGAGCGCCGAGCAGGGAAGTGGTTGTTTTTATAGGCACAGGACACCCGGAACTTTGCAACAGGACGCTTGGAAATGAACCTGCCCTGACTTTGCCTCGCTGTGACTCAGTTTCTTCATCTGTCGAGTGGGGGCAACACCCGAGCTTTCCCCTGGGGCTGCGCTGAAGGTGATGCGGCTCCACGCACGCAGGGCAGTTAGCAAATGCTCGGACGCAGTCAGCGCTGCAGGAAAGTTAGTGTCAAAACGGGAGTGAAACCAGGGGTGCCCTGCGGTGCTGGTGGCGACTGCACGAGACACACACGTGAAGTGCCTTGTATTCAGGGCCCGGACCCCGAGCCTTCCCTGCGGTTGAATCCTGTCCCCTGGAAAGACCTGTGGAAGTCCCAGCACCAGGGAAGGTGACCGTGTTTGCGGAGGGGGTCTTTGGGGATGTAATGACGTCAAGGCGAGGTAATGCTGATGTTCTTACGGAAAAGGAGAGAGCACACGGACAAGACCGCCACGAGAGGGCCGCGGCGGCTGGGCAATGCAGCCCCGGGGACAAGGACCACCGGCAGCCACCGGAAGCCAGGAGGGAGGGGGACAGGCTCCCCCTCCCCCAGGGCCTCCTGAGGGAGCGTGACCCTGCTGACACCCTGAGTTTAAACTTCAAGCCCCAGAACCGTACAAAAATGCACGTCTGCTGTTTTTAAACCACCCGGCTTGTGGTGGCTTTGTGACAGCAGCCCTAGGAGCCGAACACGCCCTCGACCAGGAGCCAACGACATTTACAGGGTACCGACTGGGGAGCTAGGATTTAAGGGTGGCATTTGGAGGGCATCTGCCAGACCCAGGTAGGGGGCTCCCTGCCTATCTTACCTGCCCTGTAACGTAGGTGCTATTAATTCATTTTATAAGTGAGCTGTGGATGGGAGACAGGACTTGGCTGAAGTCCCTACGACGGTAGTCGCCAATCGGTAAGCTGGGACCCACGGCCCCCTAAGCACCCCCCGACACACACACCCCTCCACTGGATTCAAGGAAGCACTGAGTTGCCCCCCAACTATCTCCGTCACACTTCCTTCCTTCAGCAGGGGTGGCCCCCAGACATGTCACCCCGACTTGCATCGCCAAGGGACACCCACCTATTCTTCAGCTGCCAGAGGTGCGTCCCTTGCGTTTGAAAGCACCTGGGAAGCGGGGACCGTCTGTTTCTCCCCCGTACACTCCAGGGGCTACGGGCACAAGGTGCAAAAACCTCCAGTCTTTTCAGAAAACAGATGAAGCCCAACGTGTCGCACTGTCGTCCTTCTAGGGGCATCAGCCAACCTCGCGGCCCCCGCTGTGGGAAACGTGACCGGTTCACGCGAAGATCCGCGAGCCCAGGGAGCAGACTAGAACCACCAGGGGAGGGGGCTCGACGGCCAGCACAGGCCGGGAGCCACCCGACTCCTCACAGGTGCCCCCGGCAGAAGGAATAGAATGACCTCAGCACGGCACCCAGGACAGAGCAGGTGGGGAGAGGGGCCCGGCGGGGTCTGTCTCCTCCCACCTCCGACGCTCACTCTTTACCAGAAACACCCAGAAAGCCTGTTGCCTCTCTGGAATCGGGGTTCGCCAAACGCTTCACCCAAGTTTGAGGCTCAGGAGAAAGTTACATCTGGACTCCCCAGCTCTGACAAGAGGGTGTCATTCTTCATAGAAAAGTAAAAAAAAATGAATCTTCACACACACACACACCCCGCTCCCCAACCCCGATCTGGGAAAAATGGGATCTCTCAGGCAGGCTTCATTCCTGGGTCTCGGTGCCATCGGAATAATTGCATTCTGAAGCCGGAATTGATAAATGGCTGGGGCATTGTCATTACTGGATGTTTACCTGATCTATTTGATGAATATTAATTCACACAAAAAATAGTTCCATTCCTGAAGCAATTCCGGACAAAACGATGCCTTTCCCCCTCCCCTCTCCTACCAGCAACTGCCAAAACCATGCGCAGAGTAAAAGTAAAACAAGCCGCTGTCAGAGTGATTTATTGGGCATGGAAACAAAGAGGGAGGCTGGACTTCATTCTCTCCCTCCAGAAAACACCTGGGGAAGGAACACCGCGTGCCTTCCAGAGCTGCCAGAGCGCAGTCTGCAAGCCATTGCGAAGAGGGTTTGGACCACACGTATCCCCTTTTGGCTGCAGCATTTGAAAGCGGTACCAGGGCCCTCCCGCCCCCTGGCCCCATCCTGGGGGCTCCTTTAAAAGACTTAATAACATTGACTGAGCGGCTCCACACGTGCATTTAATCCTCGCAGCACAGCTGTGAGGTCGGACGCACCCATGGCCCCATTTTACAGACGAGCACACTGAGGCTCCGAGAGGTCCAGGCGACGCACGTTCCAGGCCACTGCTAGAAAGTGGCCGAGCCGGGTCTGGAACCCAAGTCTGACTCCCAAAGACCATCCTCTTTCCACTCCATCGCGGGTCGGCCAACCGCAGCCCCAAGGGCCAGCCCCGTGTTTTTTGTGAATCTGATTGCACCGGAACGCAGCCGTGCTCCTTCGCTTACGGACTGTTGCCTGGCTGATTTCACCCCAGAAAGGCCGAGCTGAGTGGTTATAACAGGGACCATATGGCCTTCAGAAGCCCAAAATATGTACCGTCTCGCCCTTTAAGAAAAAGCTTGCTGAGCTTGAACCAAACCATTTTTTATGGTCCATCTGGAGACCCGAGGCTACGTGCTCAGTACGTGGTGGCCAAAATCACCATCATTATTACTGCTGCGGTTTTAGCATTACTGTTATTACGCTGCTTTTACCATGTTGGCCTGGCAAAGAAATGTCTCCAACCACCCCATTAAGGAACCAGCCTTCACAATAATGTGTTTCCTGCAGTAACTCATGAGATCCCTCAACGATTCAATAATACTTTCAGTCTTTCCCTGGTTCCAGGTTAATGAGAATTGAAAACAAAGCTGCATCCTTCCGCGAGCCCATCTGCAAATGCTAAGCTGCTCTCCTCGCCACAGAACAACGCCAGGGGTGACCAGAGGCACGCTGGGGAGAAAGGCCGAGGTGACTGACCTGGACGCGCAGGAGGTGGCAACAGCCCCAGGATGGGCATCGTCTGACCTCCTGCCCCACTGGCCACGGCCAGCCTGCGGTCCTCGGAAGCTGAGAGAGAGCTCCTGGCCTCTGATAAGTAAGGGGACCCATCAGCCCGGTTGCCAAGGACATGGGACTTCCGGTGCTAAAACCAGGAAAGTCCCGGGCAAACCAGGACGAGTGGCTCATTTTCACCCCAAGACACTGGTGTTCACCCCATTTCAGGAACCGACGGGAAGCGCAGCTGACGTCACCCACAGAGCTCCCCCGGGAAGGGCCCTGCTCGGGGCATTCTAACGCCCAGACGCCTTGCTCTGGAGGAGCCTGGCTGCGCTGCATTCGGACTCTGGACGTCGCCTGGGCCATCTCTGAACCATCTCGGCCACGACACACAGACGTGGTGCGGGACACGCTTCCCTAGAGGCAGCGAAGGGCGGGGGCTGGGGGTACCGACTTCAGCTCTCATTAGCGGGGTGGCTGGGTGCCTCTGAGCCTCAGTTTCCTCGCCTGTAAAACAGGGACGATTTAAATGCTTGCTTCACAGAACTGGAGTCAAGTAAGTGACCAGAAGGCGTAAACAGAGCACGAGGCTCATTAACTGCCTTGTGCTACCTGCTTAAGACAAGTCTCAGCACCTGAACGTGAACCGTGTTGATTTATTTGCATTTTAGATCCTGGCTGAGTGTGGTCCCTGGAGCAGCAGCATTAGTGCCCCCACACCCCACCCCCAGGAGCTGGTAGAAAGGCAGATTCTCACACCCCACTCAGGACCTGCTGAACCCCAATCTTCAGTGTCACATGTGCACGTTAACGTGGGGGGGGGGCACCGTTTCGAACATCCGGCGTTTCCTGACACTGGAGACCTGGGAGGGACGCGGGTGTCAGGATGGAACACGGGATGGAAGCGCGAGACCCGGGAGACACCCGCCCCGGCCCTGGCCGCTCGCCTGCCACCGAGTCCGATCCCCGCTTCCCGCGGCCCGGACCCCGCCCCAGAACCACGGAGTGAGCTTGGCGGGTGGAGCCCAGGCTCCAGAGTTTTAAAAGCTCCCAGGTGATTCTAACTGCAGCCTGGGGTGAGCCTCCCTGTTCCAGGCTAGACCAGCTCCCCAAACTCCTCCAGGGGTCTGTTTTGTTAACGGAGTCAGACCAAGGACCTCTTTTTAAAAAAATGAGATGAAATTCACATAGCACAAAATTAACCACTTTAACGTGTACCCTTCAGTGGTATTTGCGTCCACAAGGTTGTGCAAAGACCACCTCTATCTAGGTCCAAACATTGATATCACCTCCAAAGGAGACCCGGTACCCACTAAGCGGTCACTCCCCACCCCAGCCCCCGGCATCCACCTGTCTCGATGGGTTTGTGTCTTCTGGACAGTTCATAGAAATGGAATCATACAGCAGGTGGCCTTCTGTGTGCGGCTTCCTTCGAGGTTCACCCATGTTGTAGCAGGTATCAGAACCTCATTTCTTTTTAAAAAAAAAAAAATTTGTTTTTATTGATTTCAGGGAGAGGGAGAGAGAGATGGAAACGTCAATGATGAGAGAGTCACTGATCGGCTGCCTCCTGCACGCCCCCGACTGGGGATCAAGCCCACAACCCCGGCCTGTGCCCTGACCGGGAATCGAACCCGCAACC